CAATTATAACTTAGTTAAGAGTTAGTGTGAGACGGTTTTGAAGAAAGTCATATATTTACCTTAACTAATTGTGTAATGTAAATTCTAAAAATGAAAGTAAAACATTTAATTTTGAATTTCCTATTATTAAATTGGTATTGAATTAAAAATTGGGACCTTATGTTGTGACAAGTAATATTATGCAACATTATATTCATAATTTATAAGTTTAAATATAAAATAATTTTAGGATTTAAATTATTTACCTTAAAACCAAGCAGAAGTCAACAAACTTGTTAATGTAAGAGCCTAAGTATAATGATGCAATGGTATAACTATTGGCATATTTCAAAAATGTGGTACGGTGATAAAGCAGCTGCTAGTAAAGTAATTAAGCACGTAAAGTATTAAAGTGAATTAGGTATAGAGGCAATGGTAATGCTTATATAGTGAATGAAATGTATTTATCTATAGTCATTATAATTGTATTTAGTAAATGAATTAGTAAATGAAGTTATAAGAAATCGAGGATGGTAATTGACTGATGCTTACTTGTCCGATGGATGGGCTATATTGGTTATTGATATAATATATGCATTTTATTGTTAGATGTGAAATTTAAAAATGTAGGACTAGTTCGATTTTAGGGGAGATTCTATCGGATTTTCAGCAAGGTAGTTGAATGAATAATATGGAATAAGAGACTTAGACTCGAAGAAAATATATAGTAGAAAAATAATAAAGATAATAAAACTAATCAAACATTTTGGAAAACTAAAACAATCGAATTGAAACGTAGAACTTAGGCTAGCATATATAATATAGTTATTATATAATAATATCTATATATATATATATTTTTTAATATATATATATATATAACTTAGGAGTTGGAAGCCGAAATAAGGAATTTATGTTAACTTAGAATATTCAGGTTAAATGGTTAGGGAAAAGATAGTTACACTGTTATTGAAATTAGAATCTAGAAATAATAATTAGCTTTCATGAATAATAAACTTATTTTGATTCTTTTCTTTAGATATTCTTGCGGGTCTCAAGAAATCAAATGTCACATAATAGGATACCAGAAGAGGAGCACAACTTCTTGCTAAACTATAAAGCAGTAAGTAGTGTTAGCTAATCCACATCACCCATCTGCATTTTTCATTTATGCATACACGACTAAATGCTAGACATGCATTACTTGGTAAATTTCTATTTATGCTGCATTACTTGTTGCTATTGAATATTGCTGGATTAGTTGTGATGTGCTATATGTATGCCTTGCTTGTGTGGAATTGGAATGAAGTGGGGTACTGTTAGGTTTGTGAGGCCGGTCTACTATACTTTCAGCCATGTATAGGGAGATCAGCGCCCTGTGTATGTCTGATGAAATATGATATAGATGATATGGAAAATCACAGGGTGGCCGCCTCCTGTTGGTATGAAAAAGAAAAGAGAGTATAAAAAAATGAGAGGGCTGGTCAAGTGAAGTTGAGATCGATCAGCCATGTAAGGGGATCGGCTCCCCAGTGCACACGTGATGAGAGGACAAGCCACATGTGAGGACAGCTCGTCGGAGGTTTTTGTGACACCACTGCCTAATCTCTTGATGTGATTTTGTGAAGGTGTTAATATTTATGATTTCTGTTGCTATTTCATTTGTGTGATCGACTGCATAATCATATAATTAGTCAAAAGACTAAATTGATTTATATAAGCATTTATATGATTGTGTGGGCGAGAGGGTTATCTAACCCTACTCATTGAGTTAAATTGCTTACCTCTGCTTAATATTTTTTTCAGGTTACTAGTCTCCCAATAACTCGATGTCCTCTGACACCAAACGTCCAGAGGAAACCTCCATAAATCTTGTACAATTTTTAAATTTTTAGAATGTTCTGCAATTAGGATAGTCATGTATAATAAATTTAGAAGTCATTGATGTATTACTTATTAAAGTTCCTATTGTATAGCCTAGAGAATTTGGGAAATTGAATTATTATAGAATATGATGATACTGACCAAGCGAACCCAAGACTTATGTTATTTGAAAATTATTCATATTGGGCTTGATGCCGTTTCTATTGAACATGGAATTTATTTAGTATGTACTTGGCTTACTAAGGGTCTCGGTGACCTTATACCTACTTTGATCCTAACACCAGTCCGGCCCATGGAAATAGTTATTCATAATAAAATTTATTATTGTGCTTAATGCTTCAAAACTGAGTTTCTTCTTTTAATTGATTTATTTCAATAATCAATATCTCGAGAATGTTTATTAATATGAAAAATGTAATAAATTTCATTAGAATAATAACTTAATGCAAGAGTTAGGGTTTGATTTATGAGAGTTCTATTAAATAATCATAAATCTTAATGATTTTTATTTGATTATAACCATTGGGATATAGATGAATTGAGTTAAAATAATTAATAAATTCTTGAGAAAATTATTAGTGGTTTAGGGTTATTTCTCACATAATAAATAATTAAAATTGATTATCAAACTAATAATTATTAAATTATATAGAATTAACTAAAGATAAATTCTCTAGTAGTTTTTAATCCTTAAATTGTTCATTATAATTGATTTGTTCGATTTCTTTTAAGTCAAATTATTAGTTTAAATTTTTTTCTTAATTTTTTAATTATCATTTAAATAGTTATAAATTAAAATATTTTTAGTGCTTATAAAAAAAAAAAAAATCCTTGTGTGAATCATACTTTACTCGCTATTTATTTATTAAGCCTTTGAATTTGGTGTAGTTGCGATTGTCTATTCTCAGAGAATATTTCATTCTATTCCTGTTTCATTTCCCATCCGTAGTAAACATGGCCTACTTTTACTGCATCGATAAGCGGATCGGATTGAAATCCATGCTCAAAACACATGATTTGTCACATAACCCCTTATTTGTTTTGCTTAGGTCACAGCAGCCACTTATTATGGTTTAGCAGTAGCCACGCGTCAAAGGTGTCTTCTTTGCTTAGCTTCATAATACTAATACATATATTGACTCGGTGGAGGAGAGGGATAGAGAATATACAATCATGGAGGCAAACAAAGAGAGAAAAGAGCAGGTAGAGAAGGAAGAGAGACGAGACAAGAAAACGAAGAATAAAAGCACAGCTACATCTTCTGTTGATCCAATAGCAAAGGTGTTGATAAATGAATCCATAACCAGAAACAACCGAGCTGGCCAAGAAAGGAAGGTTATTGCTGAAGATCATAATGATGTTCTTGCCTTTTCTAGATCTGTTAACAACACTGACTCCTTACTTGAATGAGTTTTGGAGTTGATATATTATGGAGAGAAAGATAGTTGTAACCATTTGAAATAAATGGATTTTATTTTCCCTTTTTTTTTTGGGTTAGCGTTGCACTCACATATATATGTATGTATAATTTTAATATATGCTAGTATGGATCAATTTTCGCTTTGTATTAAAAAGCAAATCATCCAATTCAAAAGAAAATAGATTGTTCAGAATGAATTTGTCTCCAATTTGAAAAATCAGTCCCACATTAAATTAAAATTTGAAATTTTTAGTTTAGTAATGTTCAGTTTTCTGCAATTTAGGAATTAGAAAATTTTATAGTATAAATAGATAATTTTGCCGTGATAATTAATTTTTTCATCTTGACTGTTGCAGAATCAATAAATTATGGATTCAAATAGTGAAAAAAAACTATAATATAATAAAATATTTGTAATGTAGCACCCATATTATAAATTTACAATATTGCGCAAGTCTTCTCACTCAACAGCTCCTCGTTCCTTTGGCGATATTGCGCAAGTCTCCACTCACGTCCAGCAGGATCCGACCGACTCTGGCTGGCAGTGCATGGTTGACGGGCCATATTTCCGGCACAGGATTTTGTTGGTTATGGGTTCGTGGTTGGAGACGCGGAAGGACGTTTCATTCGTGGACAATCTAGCTATTTTGAAGGTTCTAATGACCCAGCTTTCACTGAAGTTCTAGCTACGAGGGAATGTCTTCTGTTTGCTTGCTCTCATCTCCTTGGGAAGACACTATATTTTCTACTTCTCAAGTTGTGGTTAAAGCTTTAAATTCTAGTACTATAGACTCTTATCTGTTCGGAATGCTCGCCTCTATATTTGGGATGATGCCTCTGTATTTCTGAATTTTATCGTTCTGTTGGCTTGTTCTCATCTCCATGGAAATGGCACTGTTTTCTTTAATTCTCAAGTTGTGGTTAAAGTTTTAAATTCTAGTACTATAATTCTTTGTTCGCTATGCTCGACTCCATATTTGGAATGGTGCTCTTGGATTTTATTTTTGAATTTTATCGTATCGTTTAATGAAGTTGTATTATTTCCTTTCAAAAAAAAATGTACAATTAATAATAATTAGTATATACTATAAATTGTTTAAATTAAAGATTTCATATTAGAAACATAAAAATACTATTAATTCTTAAATTAAATAAACTAATAGAACTTTTTTATAACAATTAAATAATTAATTATGAAAAAAAGAGGAGAGAGAAACAAAGTTGAAGCAAAGAGGGAAGATGAAAAGCCTATTTCATGCCCCATTCTAAATTCTACAAATGTGGCCAACGATCCACATGCTTCATCTCACCACCTAAATCAGAAGTTAATTTTACTGGAAGGGCCTGAATTATATATTCAATAACTTAATGAGTACCTAACTTTAATTTGTATCTTCAAAATACTTAAACTCCCACATTTATAACAATAAAATGTCTTTTGTCGCAATTGACAATTTTCGATGGCCGGATTGCCAACGTATTTAACACGCGGTTTTTATTTTAAATGAAAAATCCTTTTTAATTTTCTCTCTTGCATCTCAGCCCTCTCTCTCTCTTCTTTGCTCTCTTAGTCATCACAAATTATCAAATATATTGGATAAAACATAAACCCATTTCCCAGAAGCAATAATGAATGTCATTTTGCATGATAAGAAGATTAATTCACAGCTAGCAATAAGATTCTTGGTGGCTTCAAGAAAATAATGAACATAAAAAATCCAAAATAAGATCTTGTTTAATCAATTTTCGAAATTTTTGAAACCAGTCAATTGAATCCAAAACTTTTCCAGTAAAACTCGCAAAATCTCAAATTAACAAATCCAATCAATTACAAAGATTCTTTGCATTTCCTGGGTTCCTAAAGATCCGACAACCATCCTCCTCCTCCTTATCGTCTGATCCTCATACTTTGATGTTGATGCCAACTCCAGTCGCCTACTCGAAGTGGTGCTGCTGACGAAGCTCCGCTACCCTCCCCTTTATCAAATACATGATTCAATGTTGTAGAACTCGATGAAGATGATATGGAGAATAAAGATAGCAAAAAATTTCACAAGAATAATGCAAATAGCAAAAAAACAAATTCCAAGTAGAAAACATGAAAACAAAATAATAAAACAAAAAAAATCACCTTACCGCAACGGGCAACAGTCCATAGGATTGTTGTACTCGGACACTTCAGCCAAGGTGAAAACTTTCTCTTCACCACCCATTTGCTTTCTTATTCCTTTTTGTTGGAAAACTAGGTTTGCTTTTTGTATAAAGCTGAGATATTTGATTGTGGATTTGCTAGAGATTAGAGGAAAGAAGAGAGAGAGAGGGGACGAGGATAGAGGACTGAGTGGAAGAGAGAGAAAATTGGAAAGAATTTTTCATTTAAATAAAAAGCCACGTGTTAAATATGTGACAATCCGACGACTGAAAATTATTAATTGCGGCAAAAGGCATTTTATGGTTATAAATATGAGAGTTTAGATATTTTTAAGATACAAATTGAAGTTGGTACTCCCATTAAGTGATTGGGTATATAATTCAGGCCCTTCCAGTGAAATTAATTGGTAAACCTTCTGATAGTTGTGAGATAAGTAAGATGTTTCAGGTAACTAGAGAGAATTGTTCTTTTGCCATTGCTAGTGCCTATTACTTTCATAAGCCTTCCTCTGAATATATATACGCTGAGCTTAGATGGTTGGGACACGTGATTATGGGAGGCAGCAAATCAGGAAAACTTGCCTAAGATCTCGTGCATATGTATGAGTCTTGGTACGTGGAGTGATGTTCGACCTATTTGGTGAAAATCCACTTTTTCAACAATGATCATACTCTGCTCAGGTCTCATATACTGCCACACTCCTTAAGGTTTGAGCCTTACCGGCGTTTTGCTTGCCCTCTTGGCAGGGTCCGTCTCACCCTCTTCTGGGTTATCATCTTTCTTGACGAACCTCCTCAGGACTCCTTGCTGTATCAGTTGCTTGATCTCTTTTTTCAACTGCCAAGATTGCTCGGTGTCGTGACCTACATCCTTATGGATGCACAATATTTGCTCTTATCTTTTGTTCCTGCTGATTCTTCTCTAAGTTTAGATTATTTTCTTTACTTTTATTTGTTTTTTTCTCCTTTTTTTTAATATTATTTTCGAATTGAAAGAAAATCAAAAGGACTTTTTGAAATTTTGTTATTAGAAACAAGAGATATAAAAATAAAAAATTATAAAAATGAAAGAAAAAGTGATGAATAGAATTAATATTTATATTTAGATATCATTTGGTGAGTGAAAAGTCTATTTTAATTTTAGTTAAATAAACTACCCATATGTAATTGATTCTAATTTTTAAAATAATTTATACTCTCAATTGCAAATTTTTTTTCATTAAACACTAAAATAGAAAAATTAAAGGTTTAAATACCATAAATACAATTAACCTTATTTTTAAATACAACAGACAGACGAAAAATTTCTGAAACATAGATTGTCAGACTTTGTGAAGGAAAACACAGCATTACGACAGCAACATGACCAATAGTACAAATTGATGTTATATATGAGCCAACGGGAAGAGTTAGATATTATTAATTTTAAAATTACTGTGACTTGAGATTTAGTTTATATAAATTGTGCAATTACGTTTTTAATTTCTCAAAAAAGTGAATTAATAATCTTTATTTTTTCTATTTTATTATATTTAGTCCTACTTAAATATTACACTCTTTGATTATAAAAATTTAAAATTTATTTTGGGACTATAAGGCTCCGATTGTTTCCGTAAAATAACTAGCAGGAAACTATTTTTCACAATTTTCCATTATTTGTGGCGTTCAAGAAAATAAATCAACGGAAAATATTTTTCTGATCAAAGGAAAATTAAGTCATTTTTTAGGAGAAATAACTTTCCATTTTTGAGAGAGTAAAATATTTTTTAAAAATTGACAAACCTTATAAATCTATATTTTTTTAATTTATTAATCATCGTAGTCACTATCATCAGTCACTATTTACTACCGACCACCATCACTAGCTACCACCATTAGCGACTTTCATGATTACTCATGCCTGGCCTTACAATAAAAGTTTTTCATACATATAATGCAACAATCACATTGGATGAAAAGGTGAATCACAAAATGGGGTCTAGTATCATGTTTCATAATGTATATTGAATTTAATGAATCTTTGAATAGTATTTCAGAGAGCTTATTCCGGCAAAATGGTTTCTTTGGGCATGCTATTTGTTATGACTCCTGATAAAATGGACCAAATTTCTTTACCAAGTTTATATGGTGATCATATCATCTACAAAAGTAGTCAGCATTTTAAGATTTTTAGTTTTGCGGCCTTGCATTTTTTGGCATGACAAAATGAGATTTGCTTGAGATAGGCGAATGACCTCAACACTCTTGGCATTGAACTTTGATAAATAAAATTTTTACTTAATAATATGGATTTTGTGGGTCCCGTATATGTATGGCACAACTTAAGAGGGGGTGAATTGAGTTTTAAAAAAAAATTTAAATATAACTTTCAAAAATAAAATCAGAATTCTATTGCAGCGGAAGTAGAAAACGTTTGTGAGAGTAAGTTATCAAGATTAGAACTTCCTCACAAGGCTTAATGCAAGATTAGAAAGACTTCATAAAGAACAGTTATAGATTAGAACTGCTTCACAAATCAATTTCAGAAACGCTCTATGAAGGAAAGTTATAGCGTTTAGAACTACTTTACAAAGTTTAGACAAATATTAAAGATCCTGTGAAAGATAATTATTAAATCTTAGAACTGCTTCAAAAAGCTTTAAGCAAACTTAGAAAACTGATTAAAATTCAAATTGTGATTTATACTGAATATAAAAGAATAGATCAGAACTTGGTATAATCACAATGCAAAAATCTAGAGTTCTAATGTTCTATAAAGATAAAGCTTATCTGAGATTAGAACCATAAAACCATTGACAACTTTGCATTTCTAAAAGATTAACAAAAGTGTAAGTGAAATGGAATCAAGCAAAACTTTAGAAAATAAAAAGATAAACACGCGATTTATAGTGGTTCGGCACTAACTCACTTACATCCATTTTCCAAGACTTATCTTGAGATCTTCCACTATGTTATCTCTTTTCAAGAGTAAGAGAAAAACTAATAGTACAAGGCAATAGATCAACACCTAGATCTACCTATGAAGGGAAAGTTATAGCGTTTAGGAAACTACTTGTATGCAAAAGTTTAGACGAAATATTAAAGATCCTGTGAAAGATATGAATTATAAATCTTAGAACGTTGCTGCAAAAAGGCCCTTTAACGCAAACTTGAGAAAGAAACGATAAAATTCAAGATTGTGATTATGACTGAATATAAAAGAATCAGAATCCAGAACTTGGTTATAAAGTACGACGAATGCAAATCTAGAGTTCTAATGTTTCTGATAAAGATTAGAAGGCTTATCTGAAGATTAGAACCGATTAGAACCATTTGCACAACTTGCGAATTTCTAAAAAGATTAACAAGAAGAGTGTAAGTGAAATGGGAATCAAGCAAGAACTTTAAGAAAATGAAAAAGGATGAAACACGCGATTTATAGTGGTTCGGCACTACCTCAGCTTACATCCATTTTTCCAAGGACTGGTATCTTGAGGATCTTCCACCTATTGTTATCTCTTTTGCAAGAGTAGAGGAGAAAACTAATAGTGACGAAGGCAAATAATCAAAGCACCTAGATCTACCCTTTTGTTCCCACGTAGATTTTTTATTCAAAAAAAGGCTAGTCAACGTCAACCCTTTCGTATTTTTGTTAAGAGAAACAGAGAACTCGAAATTGAATACATTAGAATCTGCGAGCACAAAGGAGAAGGTCGCTTGATAACCTATTTCAGCAAGTAACTTTTCAGCCTAAGCTAGTTACAGCAAAAGGTTTTCCAAATAAAAGAAGCTGTGGTCTAGCAACAGATTGACAGAATCTATTGACAGATAGAGGAGAAATTGTTAAGATTATAAGCAACATGGAAGAAAACCAAAAGTCAAGTTTTTGAAAAGTTCGCAATTTAAGAGAACAGGAACTGTTGTAGTCAATTAGAGAGTTATTAGTAATGAATGTTTCTTTTCTCTTAAAGTAATAGTTTTTTTAAGACGACGGCAATGGTAAGACGCAAAAGAAATAAGGGAGTTAGGAGGAGAGCTTTGAGAGATAAAACGTTGCACGAGCAATTAAGCTGGCTTACGACTTGTTGAAAACAAATTGACCCCACGTCTTCATTAAGAGAGAAAAGTCGCCTTATAAAGGGATGTAGATGCCCGATTTTAGGGAAAGTGGTTAATGCTTTTAGCCTTCTGAAAGGAAGAAAAATATAATATTAACTTTCGCAAAAAACTAAAACACAGAGATGACAAGATCTTGTTGCCAAAAAATGGTTTTGGGTTCCAAAATCTTTTCTTTAAAGGTGTAAGCGAATAAATAGCAAGAATTTAGGAACTTTCTGTTGATAAGAACAATTTTTCGGAAAATAAAAGGGATATTAAAAATAGTTTTTGTTACCAAAGAATATTTAGAGACAAAAGTGCTTTTCTTTAGTAGAGAGAACTCAAAATGTGAGATGTTTGACTTTTATTTAGTTTAAGGTAATTATTGCGGAAACAATCGATTTTTTTAGAGAGGAGAAGAAATATCTTTTTGTGCTTTAGAAAAGGAATAGTTCTCTCTATCCTACAATAAATCTTTAAGATACTAAAAAAATCTTCACTATTTCATTAGTCTTTAATTTAATCTTGGATTTTGTAGGAACTTGCCCTTTATTAATTTGTCCATTATTTAAGAAATTAGAATAAGTCTGGCATAACAATAATAGTGTTGGACGCGGTGGTTTTATGACCTCCACTAAGCCCAATTGAGTGGGAGTATGAGGGACCAGAAGGAGTAAGGTTTCACAATAAACCAGAAAGTGCCTTGAATCAAAAAATTGAACCAAGCCGCGCCCGCAAAAGGAGCGCTGACCACGTTAGGGGCTGCGTCACGCAGCTACTAGCTGCGTGACGGCACTTCTACTCGTGGCGTCACGCAGCGTCGTAACGGGTTCTGACCAGCCTGTTGGCGCAGCGCCCGTTGCAGGTGGGCTTGCACGGATGTTTGTATGGATACGCGGGCAGATTGTACGGAAAGTAAGTTCGCGCCACGCAGGCTTACGGGGTGCGTCACGCAGCTTATAACCTGCGCGGTGACGCGACTGCCCCCTGTGGCGCCTAAGCCATCTGATAAATAACTAACATTACACAGCAAAAAACGATTTTGTTTGTAGGACTTTTTGGCAGTTTTGTTCAGGTTTGCTTCTCATTTGTTCGCTCTAGA